TCACCGCTGTGGCCTCTCCCGTTGCGGAGCACAGGCTCCGGACGCGCAGGCTCAGCGGCCACGGCCCACGGGCCCAGCCGCTCCGCGGCACGCGGGATCCTCCCGGACCGGGGCACGAACCCGCGCCCCCTGCATCTGCAGGCGGACTCCCAACCACCGCGCCACCAGGGAAGCCCCCATAAATTTTTGAATAAATCCCATAGGTCTTCAAATTTACTCTGTTTAGTAAAGCAACTATACTCCAATAAATATTAATTTAAGAAATTTTACTCGGTTTAGTTTGGGGTTTTTGGGTTTGTTTTATTTGTGGGGTTTTTTTGTTGTTTTGGGCCGCACCAAGCTGGCATGTGGGATCTTAGTTCCCCAACCAGGGATGGAACCCACGCCCCCTGCAGTGGAAGCGCGGAGGCTTAACCACTGGACCGTCAAGGAAGTCCCTAATTTTGTTTTTTAACAATACGTCTTGAGGAAAGACACCTGGTTCTTCCCACCTAACTTGTTGGATATCCTTTTCTCCCTCTAAATAATCACTTTAATACCTAAAGTCTGCCAAAACTGTATAAGCGCGAGAGCCCGCACAACTCTGCTTAGCCCCTGGGGAACACTAACGGGTCTCTCCTCTCCTGCTCCATACCCTTCTCTCGCTCCCCAGTGTTCTCAAGAGCCAAATTGAGCGTTTGTCTATAGAGAACTCCATTTCCCATCGCCCTCTTCGCTCGACACCTACATTTCCCATCATGCACGACAACGCCTACTCCTTCGATTGTTCCGGGCTCCGCCCTCCTTGCCCTGCAGGCCTGACTCTCGCCTAACGTTACCGGCCTCCAGTCCTCTCCTCTTAGCCGCCAGCTTGTCTGGGCCTCTGTGAGGGGGCGTGGCGTCTGCGCGATCGTGACGCCCATTGGCTGTCGTGTGGCCGGTGAGGCGGGGCTACGGGAGCCGGGCGGGCACATTTCGAACCGTGGCTGGGGCTGCGGTGGCGGCGACGGCGGCAGCGAAGAATGCACCCGGCAGGCGCGGCGGCGGCGGGGACGCTCCGGCAGCGTAAGTGGCGTACGTGGCCGACCGAGGAGATAGGGAGGGCGGGGCGTGGCGGGGCCGCCTCGGCGGTTGGCGAGGTCGCCGCAGGTCGGAGGTCACGAGGTCAGGGATCTGGAGCTACGAGGTGTGCACGGCGCAGGGATGCCAGGTCCGGGTAGGGGGCGTATTGGACTCGATTCTTCTTTAGGAAATTCCTTTAGAAGAAAACAAGTTTGGGCAGGATATTGTGCGATGTGCAGAACAACGCGACTTTCATTCATTTGCAGTTAGCCGTCTGTCCTCTCCCCACCCTTCCGTGGCTTTGGGCTGTTGCCCACGCACCTTAGGACGGCGTTCATAGCCCTGCGTGATCGCAGAGAGCCGTGTTTACCCCTCATTTAAGATTTGAACCTGTGTTTATTGTGCTGTTAATCCCCTTTTCCCATGTCTGTGAATTTGTATCTCTCTTTAAGTTCCTCTTCATCTCCGGGAGTGTGAGTGCGTCTCATTTATTCCTTCAGCATATCTTACTTCAGCTCCCTTGTGCCAGGCCCTGTGCTGCAATTTGGGTACCCAGTAGTAACCAGCAACTTGGCAACTTACAGCTCAGAGTTTAGTGGGAAGACAGACACTAAACTTGGAAGCAAACTAGGCAGCAGGATAATTTCAGGAGTGATTAGGATTGTAAAGGGAATAAGCCGGAAACTGACTAGGGGTTGAGGAGGCCTTAAGACATGATGCATGCATTCCTCCCTCAACCTTTGTAAGATGCCTGACTGGCCCTGTGGTAGGCGATGCTGGGGATACAGCCGTGCCCATCAGTCCTGGTTCCTGTCTTCATGGAGCTTACCAGTACAGAGCAGAAGACAGCGACAGTCTAGCGTGATGGAGCTGTGTTAAGAGAAGAGCAGGCAGAGGGGTCAGGGCTGGGATGGGGGAAGCACAATCAGAGTGGTTATGGCTGGGATGGAGGTGTTGTGTTAGCCCAGATTAGGAAACATGACCCAGCCCAGCCGTGTCTGTGAAGCTTCCTGGAAGAGGTAACATCGAATGATGAGGAATTAGCCCGGGGAAGGGGATTTATGGTGCGAGGGAAAAGCGTGGGCGGCCTGTGCTGAGTAAGCAAGTAGACAAATGAATATAGATTTAGAAATTGTGACAAGTACTTGGAAGAGAAAAAAGAACCACTGGATGTTATGAGAAAGAACAGTGTGGGGCTAGTGCTTTATGTTGAGGAGTAAGGAAGGTCTCTCTGAGAAGGAATCTTTTGAGCTGAGGCCTGAGTGCTGTATTGTCAGGTGTTAATTGTGGGAAGGTGTTCCAAGGTGATAGCACTGTATGTTCAAAAGCCTGAGGGGGCAAGGAGCTTGGCAGGGTCAGGGCCCGAGAGGAGGAGGCCCTTGTGACTGGTGGAGTGAGTCCCAGGAGAGGTAGCAAACCAGGGTGGTTGGCAGGGCTGGGTCATGCAGGGCCTCCTAGGCATTTGGATTTTATTCTCAGCGCAGTGGGCACCGATCTTAGGCAGAGGGCATGAAATATTCTCTTTTACATTTAAAAAGATCATTCTGGCTGCTGACTGGAAAGGAGGTTGTTGGGGCTAAGAATGAACAGGGGAAGCTGGTAGGAGGACATTTAAGTCAGGTGCAAGATGACAGAGTCTGAGAAGGGAGGGTAACATTGAGACCAGGTGGGTGAGAACTGATGTCAGAGGTAAAGGCCCTGGGGCCTTGGCAGGAAGTGGTGGCTAGAGACAGCCCAGGGCACAGGCTGGGCGGCTGTGCAAGCCATGGGTGTGGTGAGATTGCCCTAGGTGAGAGACAGAAGACAAGGGTGAGGGTGGAAAATTGGGGCACACAATTCAGGGAGCTGGAGAGAAATCACTGATTGAGAAGGACCGATCAGAACATCAGCTCCATGAGTTTTTCCCTTTTGGTTCACTGCTGTATCCAGCTCACCCGCAGCACAGCCTAACCCACAGAGGTGCTCGGTCGATGTTTGTGGGGCTCCGACAGGAAAGAGAAAGAGAGAGTACACTGTCTCAAAAGCCAAGAGAGCAGAGAGTTGGAGGTTGGCATTTGGAGCAAGGGCCTCAGTGCTGCTGAGGAGCTTGAGTCTGAGGAGAGTGGAATAACGGCCTTGGCCTGGTAGTGCAGAGGCATTTAGGGGACCGGTGAGAGCAGAACCCCAAATGCCAAGGGCTGAGGGGGCAACAAAGAGGGAGGAAGTACTTACACTAAAGCTTTCAGGAAGCCAGCCCTTTGGCCAGAAGTGGGAGACGGAAAAGAGAAGTGGTGCTTGGGGACAAGTGGGCCGGGGCCAGTGCTGCTTGCTCTGGGATAGAGGACTACCTGGGTCTGTTTCCAGGCTACAAATAATGAAGAGGAAGAGTCGAGGGCCTAGTTATTGATAATAGGTGACGGGATTGACCACTTTTTTATGGGCCAGGCCAGGGGGTGAGGAGCTTATGTCACTTTGCCCTGGAGTGCTGACACCATCCTGCAGAGGAGAAAACTGAGGTGCAGAGAAAGTCATGACATGGATTATGTGATTCCTCTTCCGCATCCCATTGTAATCCTACCACCCTGTTCCCACTGTGGCGCCTGGCACAGAGGTGGAGCTCAGTAAATGTTTGCTGCGGTGGCATGGCTTATTGGTCAGTGTACTGGAGCCTGAGTGCTGGGTTCAAATCTGCTCTCTCCATATTCCCCATCTCAGTAGACAGCAGTCCCATCCACTTGATCACTCAGACCAGAATCTGGGAAGACAGTGTGAATTCCTTCATCTCCCTTACCCTACCGCAGCCAAGCACACCTCCAGCAATCCTGCCTCTCCTACGTCCAAAATTTGCCACAAGCAGCCCCTCCCCTCCCCCCCCCACCCCTGCCCACCCCATCCTGCTCTCCCACCTGGACCACCTCAGCAGCTTCCTTCCCCTCCCCTCCCCTCCCCTCCTGTCCCCTCATCTTGTCCCCGCCTTCCCAGTCTGTTCCCCACAAGAAATGGAGGGATCTTTTGAAAACTTGAAACCCGGCTCTGCTTCACACCATCTGTATGACTCTGGGCAAGGGCCTGAGCCTCTTTGGGGCTCACGGTTCCCATCTGTAAAATGGGATGATAGTCTCACCAACACAAAATGGATTGTTGTGAGGATTAAATGAGTTAATCCACAGTGTTTAGAACACGGCCTGGTGTGTGGTTTAAGTGCTCAGCTGGGGTTTAATTATTACAGTATTTAACAGGGTGACCTGGGCTGGAATCCTGCTCTGTCAGTCCCTCATTTTGGCCCTTTGCACAAGTCATTTAGCCTGTCTGAGCCTCGGTTTCCACATCAGTAAAATGGGCATGGCCATTTATTCATTCATCAGGTTTTTAAATTTATTTTTATTTATTTTTGGCTGCATTGGGTCTTCGTTGCTGCACGCAGGCCCTCTCCAGTTGCGGGGAGCAGTGGTTTCTCTTGTTGCAGAGCATGGGCTCCAGGCTCGCGGGCTCAATAGTTGTGGCTCGCAGGCTCCAGAGCACTGGTCAGTAGTTACGGCGCACAGGCCTAGCCGCTCCGCAGCATGTGGGAGCCTCCCGGACCAGGGCCCGAACCCGTGTCCCCTGCATTGGCAGGCAGACCCCCAACCACTGCACCCCCAGGGAAGCCCTTTTTAAAAATTTATTTATTTTTATTTATTTATTTTTATTTTTACATCAGATTTTTATCAAGCACCTACTCTAACCCTGTTCTAGGGGCTGGGGCTTCAGCCACAAACAAGACAAAGCTCCTCACCTTGGCGGGGGCTCACATTTGAGTGGGGGAGACAGACAGTGAATAAGATAAACAGCTAGTATGTCAGCTGTTGCTGAGTTCTGTGGATATAAATGAAGTGGGGAAGAGGGATGCGGGGGTGGCACCAAGGGAGCTGCCGTTGTAGACAGGATGGCTGCGGAAGGCCCCACGGAGCCAAGACCTCGAGGAGAGGAGGGAGCCCTGAGCATGTCTGGGGCAGGAGCGTTCAGGCAGAGGAACCGCCAGTGAGGAGGCCCTGAGGTGGGAATGTGCCCGGTGTGTGCACTGAGTACTGAGGCCGGTGTGGCTGGAGCTGGATGAGTAAAGAGGGAACGTGAAGGGAGAAGGTCTGTCTAGAGACCTTGTTTGTAAGAGGCTTAGCACAGGATGCTGTGCGCAGTCAACCCCAGTACACAGCAGCCGTCATCGTTGTCCTCCTCCTCCTCATTGTTATTTGGATGGATGGATGGATGGATGGATGGATGGATGGCAGGCAGGCAGAGGCCACCCAGACCTGACTGGACAACCTGTCTGACAGCAAAACCAGGGCCCCACTGCGGCAGAAGTGGGAGGGAGAGCTCCTGCAAAATGAATGAGGCTCCCCACCCTTCTGCCCCTGCAGCCTCGAAGCGGAGGGTACCTGTGTCCCAGCCAGGCATGGCTGACCCCCACCAGCTTTTTGATGACACGAGTTCGGCCCAGAGCCGAGGCTATGGGGCCCAGCGGGCGCCTGGTGGCCTGGGCTACCCTACAGCCTCCGCCTCGCCCCAGGCGGCCTTCCTGGGTGATCCTGTGTCCAACATGGCCATGGCCTACGGGAGCAGCCTAGCCGCGCAGGGCAAGGAGCTGGTGGATAAGAACGTGAGTGGGCCGGGCTGGTGGGGGTGGGGGCAGGCAGGGGCCTCGGAGCCAGGGCTTCAGGCTGGCGCTCTGCCTCCCCAGATCGACCGCTTCATCCCCGTCACCAAGCTCAAGTATTACTTCGCCGTGGACACCGTGTATGTGGGCAAAAAGCTGGGTCTGCTCTTCTTCCCCTACCTGCACCAGGTGAGCATCTGAGCGGGGTGGCAGCCTGTAGGCAGGCGTGGGGCAGGCTGGGGCAGGCGTGAGAGGCAGCAGGATAGGCCGAGAGAGGGCCTGTAGGCGGGCCAGGAGCCCAGCTCTGGTCCTGCCTGCCCCCTCCGCCCTCCCCACAGGACTGGGAGGTGCAGTACCAGCAGGACACACCAGTGGCCCCGCGCTTTGATGTCAACGCTCCTGACCTCTACATTCCAGGTTTCACCCTACCCACTGCGGCCCGGTGCCCCGCTCCCTCTGGGTGGGCCTGCCTCGGGCAGAGGTTTAGGTGGCCGGAGGCCCTGGGTGGTCCTTCTTCTGACTAGTGTCTGTGTGTCTCCCTCTCACAGCCATGGCTTTCATCACCTACGTCTTGGTGGCTGGCCTGGCGCTGGGGACCCAGGATAGGTAAGAGAGGCCTGGAGTAGGCAGAGTGGTGTGGGGTTTGGGGGAGCTGAGGGGCAGTCAGGAAGGTCTCTTGGTTCCCCTGCCTCAGAAGAGCCCCACCATGTTCCCAGTTAGCCCAAGACAGAGCCTGCACGGTCACCCTCAGAGTCACCCTTGCCCCTTTCCTCTTTCCCACCCGTGTGCAGCCCATCACCACACCCTGTGCTGGGTGACACTAAGTCCATCCTTCCCCTGGCCTCTCCTAACCAGCTGCTCGGCCCCCACACACCCCCTGCACCCACACTCCAGCAGGAAGGTCTTGGCTGAGAGGTGAGCCTGGTCATGTCCCCCACTGCTCAGAAGCTGTCCCTCGCTCCCCTGTCCCCAGACCAAGTCCCAGCTCCTTAGCCTGGCACTGCCTGCCCCTCTCCCTCACTCTGCTGCGCCACTCTGGTCCTCTTTCTGTTTCTCCAGAGGACCTGGGTTGCCTCCCCAGGGCCTTTGCACGTCAGTTCCCTTTGCTGGGGAGTGTGTTCCTCCCCTACATCACCTGCTGAGCACCTATTCACTCATGATGTCTCCACTGCGATGTTACTTCCTCAGGGAAGCCTTTCCACCCTCCAGCCTGCGTCAGGCCCCCACCTCTCACTCATAGACCCCTGTTCATTTCCTTTGTGGCATGGAAAACAGTTGTCATTAGAGTCAATTAATTGTTGAGGCACTGGGGATATGGCAGAGACTAAGGTCCTTCCCCAGTCAGCTCCTTACTCCTTCAAGCCTTAGCTCAAGTGTCTGATACCCACCTCCCAACGGGGTCACACACCTCCCCTGCCCTGTGCTTCCCCCATCCCAGCCCTGACCTTTCTGGGCTGTCACTGGGGATGGGATTTCCAGGAAAGGGCGCCTGCCGGGTCTTCAGCATGCCCCGCCCCCCCCCC